ACTTTTGTTTTCTCTTGGGAGCTTCCTTAGGAATGTCTAGGTTCCCTTCACACCTTCTGCTTTTAGAGAAATTGAGCAGACTTTTCAAAAGTCTTCACCCAGGACTTCTGGTTACAGCTCCAATGTGGAAAGAACTTAGAAGTGGTTACTTCCATCCTTATCATAAGAAAAAAGATGAACAAAAACTGAAAATCAATGACATTTCTTGGACCAGAGAACTGAGGTCACAGGGCAAATTGCCACCCTTAAACCTGAAGAGAGGTAAATCCAGAAAGTTTATAGCTGAGATCTCCTTACCTGGAGCAGAGGCCACTGGGGCCATTGGTCAAAACACTTAAATGGCAATTTTGATAAATTTCTGGAGGCTGAATATGGTCTATCAAGAGAGGGAGAAATTCCTCAGGATCACATTTCCATGGGCCTGACCTCCAGGAGCCCCACAGGTGGTGGAGAGCTGAGAAGGCGCCCCTTACCCTTTGGATGGGGAAGGGGAGAGTTATCACTGTAATTACCAGAGCACTCCCCATGACAATACCGGGGTCAATTTTACTAAGACTCTGCTGGATGTGGTGGCTCATGCCTGTAATCCTAGCACTTTGGGAGGCTGAGGTAGGTGGATCACCTAAGGTCAGGAGTTCGAGACCAGCCTGGCCAAAATGGTGAAACCTCTTCTCTACTAAAAATACAAATGTTAGTGAGGCATGGTGGCAGGCGCCTGTAGTCCCAGCTAGTAGGGAGCCTGTGGCAGGAGAATGGCTTGAACCCGGGAGACAGAGGTTGCAGTGAGCCGCGATCACGCAACCGCACTCCAGCCTGGGCAACAAAGTGAGACTCAGTCTCAAAAAAAAAAAAAAAAAAAAAGATTACTAAGACTCAGGCTAGTGACTCCCAGGGTCAAAGGCTCACCAGAGCCTTATCCCACCTGGGGAAAGGGCATCTCTCCCTTTTTTGGCTCCTCTAGCCTTCCTGTCTCATGTAAGGAGAGGGGGAAACACGCCAGCAAACACTTGTGAAGGTCAGAGACTAGGGACACAGGCCCACTAAAAGGCTAAAGTTTAATAAGATTGCAGACCACTTCCCCTCCCCCACACCTTACCACCACACCCGCAGTGGATTCCAGCTGAAAGAGTGGCAATGTGCCTGGCTCTAAGGAAGGAAGACGACTCAGGGAAGCCCAAAGACAACAGGGAGACAAAAACAAGGACACTAGAGGAAGTTTGCAGCCTCTGGCACCTACAGTCACAGCAAACATTCAATAGAACCTGACTTCTAGCCAGATTAGCATGAAACTTCACACTAGAGGCCTGTTTGCCTCAGTTTATATTTTCTAATACAGCATGTAACTTCCAATAAAAAAAATTATAAGGCATGCTAAATAGGTGAGGAAAAAACACATCTGAAGAGACAAAGCAAGTGTCAGATATAACACAGGTTCTGGAATTATCACATGGGGAATTTAAAATAACTGTGATGAATATGGTAAGGGCTCTAATGGGAAAAGCAGACACATCCAAGAGCAGATGGGTAATGTAAACAGAGAGAAGAAAAACTACCGATCAAAAGGAAATGCTAGAAGTTAACAATGACGCTGTGACAAAAATGAAGAATGCCTTTGATGGGCTCATCCAAAGACTGAACACAGCCAAAGAGAGAATCAGTGAGCTTGAACATAGGTCAATAGAAAGTTCCCAAACTGAAATGCAAAAGTGTCTTCAGTCAGTTAAGGACTTAAGAGTTTTACCCACTTTTGTCTTCATGAAGGATTGCTATTAGTCGCTTAGATCACTGTGTCCTCTGACAATGAGTGATTGCTTTTGTAGGACTGTTGGTCTTACGAGAGTTCAGGTCAGTGCTCAGTCCTGCTCAGCAACCCCGGTAACATGCATGCACCCTCTCACCTACACAGTTCTGGCAGTCATTGCCCCATTATTTCTTTATTATTTATTTATTTATTTATATATTTATTTTTTGAGACGGAGTCTCGCTCTGTCGCCCAGGCTGGAGTGCAGTGGCATGATCTCGGCTCACCGCAAGCTCTGCCTCCTGGGTTCAAGCCATTCTCTTGCCTCAGCCTCCGGAGTAGCTGGGACTACAGGCGCCCGCCACAATGCCCTGCTAATTTTTTGTATTTTTAGTAGAGATGGGGTTTCACCGTGTTAGTCAGGATGGTCTCGATCTCCTGACCTCGTGATCCGCCCATCTCATCCTCCCAAAGTGCTGGGATTACAGGCGTGAGCCACCACGCCTGGCCTATTTATTTATTTTTGAGATAAGGTCTTTCTTGTCACCCAGGCTATAGTGCAGTGGCATGATCACGGCTCACTGCAGCCTCAACCTTCCTGGGCTCAGGTGATCCCCGCACCTCAGCCTCCCAGGTAGATGGGACGATCAGCACACACCACCACGCCTGGCTAATTTTTTTGTAGAGGCAGGGTTTCGCCATATTGCTCCGGCTGGTCTTGAACTCCTGGGCTTAAGTGATTTGCCCACCTCAGCCTCCCAAAGTGCTGGGATTACAAGCATCAGCCACTGTGCCCAGCCTTTCCCCAGGGTTTCTGATTGATCTATTCCTCAATAACAGAAAGCTAGGCCCAGGCAGAGTGGTTCATGCCTGTAATTCTAATGCTTTAGGAGGCTGAGGTGAGAAGATTGCTTGAGACCAGGAGTTCGAGATCAGCCTGGGCAACACAGTGAGACCTTCATCTCTACAAAAAACATTTTTTTTAATTGGCCAGGCATGATGGCATGCAGCTATAGTCCCAGCTACTCGGGAGGCTGAGGTGGGAGGATCACTTGAGCCCAGGAGTTTGAGGCTGCAGTGAACTATGATTGCACCACTGCACTCCAACCTGGGTGACAAAGCAAGACCTTGTCTCAATAAAATAAAATAAGACTAGACAGCATATAGGGGGAGGAGTTCAGCAACAGGCCCAGTATTGAGAAGGTCTGTCTGACATCACGTTGTGTTTTAGAGACAGATTCTAGTTGGGCAGTGACAGGTGAGCATGGGGCTGGGCCTCAGCCATGAAGAATTGACATAGGAACGGGTTGTCGAAGCGAGGGCTCAGTTGGGTACTCGGTAGGGGTGTAATCTCAGAAACAAGGGAAAATCCAAGTTGTCAGAATGGGGTAGACCGAAAAAGACTGGGTCAGTCTAGCAACAATGGTGAGTGACTTCCAGTGGAGTCCCACCCATATGGATATCCTGGAGCTCCTCAGAAGCCCCCTGCCTGCTTGATGCAAGGTCTTACTAGAGCCCGAGGGTCAGGGTAGACCAGAGTCTCAGATTGCCTCCAGTGCTACCGACAGTGGAGGAAGGATTACTTTTATACGTCAACCTGACTAGGCTGTGGTACCCAGCTGTTTGGTCAAATAACAGTCTAGATGTTGCTGCAAAGACATTTGTAAGATGTGTCTTCCAATTAGTTGAAGGCCTACAGACCAAAGAGCGAGGTTTCCAGAAGTAGCAACATCAATTCTGCCTCAAGACTGCAACATAGAAAACCTGCCTGAGTCTCTCACCTGCCAGCATGGCCTACAGACTTCAGACTGCCCCACAATTACCACTTACTTAAAATCTCACTCTCTTATGGGTTCTGTTTCTCTAGAAACAAGAAGTCAAATACAGTGTCTCTATAAGTTCATTGGCAGGAAAGAGTTAATCCTTTTGCTATAAATGCAAACTCACAGTTTTAACCAAAGGAGATTTCATTTTTTTTTTTTTTTTTAGTGAAAGACAATCATTCTATCCACTTATGTGGCAATGATAGCCACAAGAAATATATGCTTCATCCAACTTTGCTGCTTTTCATTAATTCTCAGCTTTATAGAGTTGCAACGTGATGTTGCCCTTTGGCATGTTAGCATTAAAATTAATGCTTATTTTTGAAGAAGTCATCATAACCCTGGCAAACCATTTCTAACTGCAGTATGTGAGGTCTCCTACATCTTAAATGGCTTGTGGAGGCACCTCTGGAAACAGTCAATTGCCTGTGGAAACCAGCAAACCAGGGCCAATCACAAACCACAATTACACTTGCTCAGCTGCTTGTGGAGCCAAACTGATGGAGCTGAAACCTCATTTTTGCTTCTGCTTTTTGCTTTGCTTTGATTTTTAGAAAAGAAAGAAAAATATAAGATGCTACTATCTGAGAATCTCAGCAACATGCTGGCAGATCTGAGTACCCCCCTCACTCTCAAAGTCTCTCTCCTGCCTGGCGCTCACAGAAGGCTTCCTGCTTGGTGGACATGACCATTTATTACTTCTCAGACTCCATGTTAACTGAAGTCTGGTGTGGATGGCTTTCGTACCTCAGTGCAATGGAGTGTTTTATCATTTTCTGTTTGTTTGTCTATTTGTTTTTGAGGCGGAGTCTCTCCCTGTTACCAGGCTGTAGAGCAATGGCACTATCTCAGCTCACTGCAACTTCCACCTCCCAGGTTCAAGCGATTCTCCTGCCTCAGCCTCCTGAGTAGCTGGGACTACAGGCACACACCACCACATCCTGTTTGTTTGTTTTTGAGACAGGGCCTCACTCTGTTGCCCAGGCTATAGTGTATGACATAATCAGAACTCACTGCAGCCTTGACTTCCCCGGCTCAGGTGATCCTCCTATCACAGCCTCCTGAGTAGCTGGGACTACAGGTGCACACCACAACGCTTGGCTAATTTTTGATATTTTTTGCAGAGATGGGGTTTTGCCATGTTGCCCAGGCTTGGCTTGAACTCCTGAGCTGAAGCCATTTGCTTGCCTTGGCCTCCCAAAGTGCTGGGATTAGAGGCATGAGCTGCCGCACCAGGCCGTTAACAGCTTCCTTCACGGGAAGATGTGTTTCTGTTTTTGTTGTTATTTCAAACCAAACAGCTTTGTTAATTTAGGAAGTTTCCAGTGGTGCGGCCCCTACACACCAGATACTATGACCACACATTGGAGGCAAACACAAACAACTATACAGCAACAATAGAACAGGTGTCTAAAATAAATTTCTAACAATGTATCTTTTAATATTAGACTCATACTTTATTTTGACAAATTTAAGATAGAAAAATATCATAATGTGAATATAGCAGTTGCTCTTTTTGTAACATGGTTTGGGATGTGCAGCACAACTTGAAAGGACTTGCTTTACAGGTGGTCCCTCTTCTGGCTGGGTTTCAGTTAATTCTGAATTATATTCCAGCCATTGCTTTTGCTTGAAAGAATATTGGACACAGTAAAAAACAACAACAACAACAACAACAACAAAAACAGGTTTGGCATTCAATAATAAATATTATAAAGCAATGAATGGAACAACTTTTAAAATAATTACTAAAAGCAAACTTTAGACTTCATGATTAAAGCTAAGAACTCATATTTTCAAAATAGCTTTAACAGTTTCTATCAATATATAATACAATAATAGGACACCTATTTTTAAAAAACAAGTGAGTAGAATCAGAGTAAATATGGTGTTTCAGATGACTATAATCAGTAAACATCAATTCAGTATATTTATATATCATTTCAGCAATATACTCTTTGCCCAGCTGGCGATAAAAACTGTAGTTCTATCATCAAAAATGCATCCCTGAATGTCATCTTTGAACTTATTAAGTGCTCTCATCATTTCTACACTCCATCTTTGGAGGGGGTGGCTTGGGGACTCTTGGTACATGCAGATATTTAGTTATGGTTATAATGACAAAAATTAAATGTGCCAGGAGTCTGAAGCAGAAACCATTGCCTTACTTTGTTAAGTACCTTCACATTCTTTTGTCTCTGTGATGCCTCAGGTGAAGTCACACTAAATAATTCACACAGGTGCTAATTTTGTTGCTCTGTGTCAGTACCTTTCAGCTTCTTTCTTTTCTTCCCTTTCCCACTCCTCAAAGAATAAAATGGGGAGGCCTCTCATTAAAACATGTCATTTCTAACATATAAAATAAGTGTATGTACATAGGTACATACGTGCATCTCCTTCTCAAGGACTGGGTAACTCCTCATTTTCTATCAAATAATCCTTCTTCATATACCTGGTTCCCCTAACCAACCTCCACACCTCGAGGTAAGCATCTTTTAACGACCTCCTGCTCCCTTCTTCAGAGCTCCCAGCCACCAGCGGGACTCCTCGGGGGCTGCCCCTGACCTCTTGCTTGCTCTGCTGATTGGGGCCATCTGCTGCCTCCCCACCTTCTGACGGGCCATTTCCTCCCTCCCCAGGCAGCTCCTCCATCACGAATGGTAGCTGGTCTCCACTTAGCTGCGCCTCCTCTCCCCTGGGTTGGGCCTCCAGGTCCTCGTACTTGCTTTGCTTTCTGGTCTCCATGAACTTGGCCACACAGTAAATGATGGAGCCCAGGGTGTTCACCACCACGCCGGCAATGAACAGAGAGGTGGGTTCCACGTCGCTGAAGGCTACCATGCCCACCGTGATGGTGGCGATGCTCTTTACCACGCCCACGAAGCTGGTGGTCACGGCCGAGTTGATGTAGGTGCAGTGCAGTGTGGTGAAGTTCATGGCGCAGCCGATCAGGATGCAGGCCACGAAGATGCAGACCATAGCTGGGTCCTTCCAGCCAGGGAAGGTCCAGGCGTGGATGGAGTCGGTGCTGGCAAAGGAGCAGATGACCAGCAGCGGAGTGGCGGAGACGGCGATGACGTACTGCGCGGTGAGGGGCCCGTGCTCTGTGTCAGCGCTGGCCTTCTGGATGAGCACCAGGTAGGCGGCGTGCACCAGCACCGCCAGCACTCCCGTAACGTACCCGATGGGGTCGCCCGTCAGGTCGCCGGCTCCTGCGGCGCACAAGGAGGACGGCCGAGCCCGGGCAGGAAGGTAAAAGAGAGAAGACAGCAGGTTGGCGTGGGCGTGGACCCACCGGGAAAACGCGTCGGATAGGAAAGGAGACTGGGTTCGCGCCCCAGCTCTGCCCACCGATTCCTGAGTGACAGACGCCCGCTGTCCCTCGGCCACCCGTGTCAAATGCGACAGCCAAACTCAGTCAGTGCTCAGAGCGCCTTCCCGCCATATCTCCGGGTCACCCCATCTTGCCTTCCCGCCATATCCCCGGGTCACCCCATCTTCCCCTGTCCACGACAAAGGCCCCGGAGAGCGCAGATGCCCTCGGGGCAGGTGCTGTGGCTTCCCCGAGCTGGCACCGAGGTCACTCCGGCGCATGGTACCTGCACTCCGCAGCCCCTGCCCCGTGGGACACCAAAGGGAGAGGGAGCCGCAGCCAGTGGCCTGTAACCCGGAGCGGCCAGGAGCAGGGGAGAACGCCTGTCCTGGCCCCCAGTGAAGCTGCCCCCTGCCCCAGTTCTCGTCTCTCTCAGCACCTGGGTCGTCTGCCTCAGGCACGCAGCCCCCCGCGCGGCACGAGACACCCCGCAGTAGCCCCGGGAGCCTAAGCTTCGCCCCCAGCCCCCACCTCCATTCCAGCCCCTGGTGACCCAAGGAAGTTCACGGCCCCCTCCTTCCGGCTTGGTCCTGGCTTGGAGAACTCCAGCTCCCAGGCTCAGGCGGCCCTCCCACCTCTCCCAGAGAATGGGGTGACAGGGGAAGACCAAGGGAGGGGGCAGCAGGAAGGGCGATGCCAGGTGAAGCAGGGTCGAGGGTCGGAAGCCAGGACATTAGGGGGCAGGGGGACTTGCGGGAGGAAACCGGAGAGCTGGGGAGCTCGCTGGGTCTCGGAAGTCCCTTTTGCGAGCTGAGCGACCACTTTCAAAGCTCTCCGTCCCTCTCTGCCTCAGTCTCCCCATCTGGAAGTGAGGTCGTTGCACTCAGTGATCCCCGCGGTCTCTGCCCGACGGAGAGGGGTGGGTGGGGTCGGCTGGGGGTCGCCGCGGGGCCCGCTCACCTGCCAGGGCGGCGCCGCAGGTGGTGATGAGCACGGCCGCCAGCACCCCCGGCGAGGGCGCGCCGTTCTTGAGCACCAGGACGCCGATGAGCATGGTGACCAGGGGCAGGCAGCGCTTGAAGACCACGTACATGGGCAGGCTGAGGCCGCGCAGGGACCAGAGCGTGAGGCTGGACTGCAACGTGGAGAGCACCGCGACCCCTGCGAAGGAGCGCGCCAGGCTCAGACCGAAAGGGGGCACGGCGATGAGCCCGAGGCGCCGCAGCAGCTCCAGGCTCAGCGCCGCCGTGGAGCTGGTCAGGCACTGCACCAGGGTCAGGAAGGAGAACTGGTAGCGGCTGATGAGGAACTTGAGCAAGATGTTGAGGGAGCCCGAGAAGACCCCGTGCGCGATGGCCACCGAGATGCCCAGCACTCGTCCCCGGCACAGCTGCCGCATCGCGCCGGCCTCGCTGCACCCAGCGGTGGCGGAGCTCCGCGACCTGCGCGCGAGGAGCCGGGAGGAGCGGAGTGAGGGCGGCGGGGGCGCCCGCCCAGCGCGACAGTGAAGGGCAGGGGGCGCCGGCTCGGCTGCAGAGGGCAGCTCTGGCCGGGCGTTCTCGCGGTTGGGCAGCTCTGCGTCCGACTGCCCCGCAGCTCCGGGGAGGCAGTGACGAGGGCGGGGGACTCCGAAAAGTGGCAGAGGTGGCGGGGGGGGCCGGTCTGAGAGGAGTGGCGGGAATCCTAGCGACAGCTATTTGTAAGTGGGTGATGAGCCGCGGTGGGTTGTGTCCCGCGCGGTTTCACCGTCAGGGAAGACGCTCTGCTGAGGGAAGCGGGCGGCTGGGCGCCCCGGGGCGGCTGCCGCAGAGCGGGACGGGGGCTCTTGGGGCGCGGCGCCCCTCTCCTCCCATAGCGCCAGGGGCTCTCGCTTGCCCCTTCCAGCCGAGGGGCTTGGGTTGGAGGGATCCGGACACAGCTAAAGATTTTAGAAACAGCGCATCAGGATCGAGCGCCGTTTATTGGTCGCAACAAGTGACGGTGCCCCCAGCCCCATCGCCCCGGCGCTGCAGCGGCTTTTTCTACCCACGGTCCCTCCCGGTGCAGCGGCGGGACCTCGTCCAGCTGCCCGCCAGGGAAGCGAAAACCGTCGGTGCCGGCGGGCTCCCGAAGCTCCCGATCCCGGCGCCCACGCCCTGGTATCAGAGGAGGAACCAGCGGCCCGGGGCGCTGTCCGGGGGTGCCTCGGAGCCCGGAAGCTGGCTCCTTCCGGTGCCAGGCCACGCGCACCGCTATCGGCTCGCCTTCCAGAGAGGGTCCCGGGATTATGCGCGCGGCTCCGGGGAAGCTTTCAGGGGGTTCAGTGGTCTCGTACAGCAGCGGAGCCTGGTGGCGGGGACACACATTAGAATTGAGGCAAAGATGTAAATAAGCAAACGCGCACAAACGAAGTCACAACCGCAAGTAGCCACGACCAGGAACCGAGAAGCTCGGGGGCGACGCTTCCCGAAGCGTGGGAGAAGGCTGGCTGCGCTCGCAGAATGGGGGAGTAGAAGGGGAGGGGGCGGGAACCCGGGGCCCCTCACCCTGTAGGGAGACTCCGCGTAGCATTCTCCGGATCCCAGGGAACTGATTCCAGGGAACCCTCACCCTGCGGGACCGTCGTGGGTTGCTTTCGGAAGCAGGATAACCCGGAGGCAGAGGGTGAGGGAGTCACCACCTCCCTGGGCCAGGGTTCACACCTTTGCACAGCAGGACTTGTGAACTGTGTTTTTCCTATATGACTAAGAAAAAGGGAATTCTAATTTTGGGATGGGAGTAAGGCTTCGGTGACTCTTTCTTCTGAATTCAGTTCCCTGGAAAGTAACTCGTGCGGACCTGTAGTTAAATCAGCAGCAGCCAAGGGTTTCGCCCAGCCGATGGAACCGTTAAGCGCCAGACAGTTTAGTTTTAAGGCGATTTGAAATTTGTGGCATTGGCCAGGGTTTGGCTGTAAGGGAAAGGTTCGAGATCGCTGCGCTCCAGCACCCCTTTCGTTCACCGCCAGCAGTTTATTTCTCTTAGCCCCGGGGATCGCAACCTCCTAACCTTTTAACGCTGCATCACGTTGCCTTAATAGACAGGATCCATTTCTCTCTCGGTTCTTCTGTTTTCTGCCTCTTACTTCCATCTCTGTGCTGAATGCGACACACTTCAGCCAAGGTGTTGAAGTCGTGATTTACTGCAACAGGGGAAGAAAAAAAAATTACAGCAGGAATCAGCAGCATCACGGCAGCCCTTCATTTGGGCCAGCATTTTGGGCTTTGGATGCTCACTTTGGTGAGCTCTAGAGAGCTCGGTGTCAACCAGTCCCTCAGCTCAGGTGCCCGGCGCCTAGGAGGGCCACCTCCCTGCCCCCCACAGGTGGGCACTCAAAAAAGTGTTTGTGAATGGCCCAGGGTGCCAACTTTCCAGGAATAGCTGGAAAGCATTATACTGAAACACGTGCTTCCGGTTCTCTGGGGAGCTCTTGGTTTTTGTTGCTAAAACTTGTGGTTACATACTATTGGCTGTTTAAGTGACTCTTTTTCTAGAGTTAATGTTATTTAGGAAATAATGAAGTCTGAAGCACCAGTTCACATTATGTGTATGTGTGTGGTATAACTGTATATTCAAAATATATTGATTAAAAACTCTGAAAATTAACTTATAGACATCGGCAAATAACAGATTTCTGCTTCTAGAGACTATTCCAATGAAAGTGTGGCTGATTTAAGCCATCCCAAGTGCATATTATTAATATAAAGAAGTGGCTGCACAGACCTACCTTTGGAATGATTCATTTCTGCCCGCAATTATAATTGCATCCATTTGTGATACTAACATTAGGTAAAAGATTTGGGGCTGATTCAGCTATCTTACTCTTCTCATTTAGGCAAGACAATTTAGCTTAATATTTGAAACCTACAGTGGCATAAAATCGCACATTTTCTCCACTTTGTTGCATATAATTCTTTTGGAAAGAAAAAACCCTTAACCCCCATCTCCCACAAAACCAGATACTAGATGAGCTCGTTTTAAAAATTGTGAAAAACTAAGAATACCATGTTTAGCAAGGTTAAATGAACAAAAATGTAGATCTAAAGGTCAAATAGCTATTTGACCTATTGGTATCAGGGTACCAAGGATCTAGACTCAAGCACATCATCTTTGGAGCTACTCAATAAATATTAATGGCATTAAATAAATCCTTTAGTTTATCCATTCATTCAACAAACATATACTACAAGTATTTTGTGCCTAGGTACTCTGTTAGCCACAGAGGACTCAAAGATGAACACATCGCCTTCGTCCTTAGCAACAGTGGGATTGTGTGGCAGAAAATGGGAGCGCCAGGAGGGCAAGTACATCAGCTTGATAGCAGTAGCAGAGAAGGCTTCCTGGAGAAGGAAATACAGTCTCTTTGAAAGCTTATTTCATTATTTTTAATTGTAAAAGTAACACATGCTCATGGTGGTACATAAGAGAAAAACAAATTTATAAATAAGTAAACACGCTCTCTTCAGTGTTCACCATCCCCAACCCTACAACATAGAGCTTGCTGTGTTCAGTGTGGAACCTTTCAGCCTTTTTGTATGTATGTTTATACACACACAAACTCCCCCTTTAAAAAAATAACAAAACCAGGATATCATATATATTTGTCTATAATTTCCTACTTTAAAAAGCGTATTATGGGAATTAGCCTTCTAGATAGTCCCCAGTGATACCTGCTTCCCCACATTCACACCCTTATGTTAACTCCTCCCACGCTGTACCAGGGTTGGTCTGTGTAGCTAACAGAACCTGGCAGAAGTGACGGAGGTCACTCCTGACTTTAGTTTATAAAACACTGATGCTTCCATCTTGTATGTCCTTTTTCTTGTATCATTAAGTCTGGGGAAGCCGAATGCCACATTGTAGGGACATTCTGCCTATGGAGAGTCCCAATGTGGTTGAGTAATTGAGGTCTGATAACCATGGAAATAACTGTGGTGTCATGAGAAAACCTGAGCTCAAACAACTCAGTTGTTTCTGAATTCCCGACCTATAGAAACTGTGAGATGATAAATGTGTGTTGTTTAAAACTACTAAGTTTTGGAGTGATTTTTTACATAGAAATAGCATATTTTTTCAAATGACTTATTATTTTCAATAACTGTTCTACAGTATACCCTTTCTGTAGACAGGCATTTGGGTTTTAGCAAATGATGTAATAAATACCCTTGGACATAGCCATACTTCTACAGGTATTTTGGGAAAAGGGGAGAGAGGGAATCCTAGAGGTGAAATTGCTGGGTCAAAGGGTAATTTAAAATTTTGGCCGGGTACGGTGGCTCACACCTGTAATCCCAGCACTTTAGGAGGCTGAGGCAGGTGGATCACTTGAGGTCAGGAGTTCAAGACCAGCCTAGTCAACATGGTGAAACGCTGTCTCTACTAAAAATACAAAAATTAGCCAGGTATGGTGGCGCATGCCTGTAATCTCAACTGCTCTGGAGGCTGAGGCAGCAGAATCACTGAAACTAGGAGGTGGAGGTTGCATCTGTGAACTGTTTATTGATATCCTTGTCCAACTTTTGTTTGGTTTTTTTTTTTTTTTTTTTTTTGAGACGGAGTTTCGCTCTTGTTGCCCAGGCTGGAGTGCAATGTTTTGATCTCCGCTCACTGCAACCTCTGCCTCCAGGGTTCAAGTGATTCTCCTGTCTAGGCCTCCTGAGTAGCTGGGACTACAGGAATGCACCACCACACTCAGCTAATTTTTCATATTTTTAATAGAGATGGGTTTTCACCATGTTGGCCAGGCTGGTCTCGGACTCCTAATTTCAGGTGATCCACCTGCCTCAGCCTCCCAAAGTGCTGGGATCACAGGTGTGAGCCACCATGCCCAGACTTCTTAGAGATTTTTAAGAGCTCTTTGTGAAGTTTGGCTATTAACCATCCATTCTATGTATGTTGCCAGTATATCCTTTCATTAGGTCCTCTTTTAGCTTTGCTAGTGATGTGTTTTGCAATTTTAATTTTTGTATGTTGTCAATCTTACTCTTTATTTAATGCGACTTTTATTTATTTTTATTTATTATTATTTTTTTAGATGGAGTTTCGCTCTTGTTACCCAGGTTGGAATGCAATGGTGCAATCTTGGCTCACTGCAGCCTCTGCCTCCTGGGTTAAAGCAATTCTCCTGCCTCAGCCTCCCAAGTAGCTGAGATTACAGGCACTCACTACCATGCCTGGCTAATATTTTGTAGTTTTAGTAGAGACGGGGTTTCGCCATGTTGGCCAGGCTGGTCTCAAACTCCTGGCCTCAGGTGATCCGCCTACCTTGGCCTCCCAAACTGCTAGGATTACAGGCATGAGCCACCGTACCCAGCCTAATGTGACTTTTACATGATGGGTAAGAATTTACCGAGCCAAGAGCAGGGTAGTCCAGGCACATGGACCAGCCGAAAACCTGCATCTCTTACATGAGGAATTTGTGAGCACACTGGTTGAGTGTGAAGAGAAGCGGTGCTGTAGACAGAGGCAAGGGCTATCCCTGGAGGACCCTGGCTGCTTGGTTAGTAAGCTTGAATTTTTTCCTATAGGTAATCCTATAAGCAGAGAAAGGTTTTATACTGAAATTGATGTAATCAGATTGCATTTGAGATCCATCTCCGGCAGCTGTGTTGAGGAGGAGGGCTCTGAGGACACAGAACTGGAAACAGACACACCATTTAGGAAGCTGCTGCAATTGTCCAGAGAAAAGCTAATGATGGCTTGAACTGGAGCAATGGTGGTTGGATTGAGGGGAAGAGATAGAAGGGAGCAGTGTTTAGGGGGTAAAAAGGATCTCATTCGATATATATGGAGAAGTGGGAATAAGGGAAGGACCAAGGATGGTGTTTAGGTCTTTAGCTTGACCCAAATGGATCTTTTATAACAGCTTGACTTTTGTCAACAAATGAAAAAGTATGTGCAGGAGGAAAAGCTGGGTTAGCAGGCAAGTGAGTTTGGTTGGAACAAAATGAGTGCAAAGGCTTGTGGGAAACCCAGGTGGGGAAGGTAGGTGTACAGATTTGGGAGTATTCAGTATTAACATGAAACTAAAAAGCATTTAAGTGGATCAGCAAATACAAGGAGAAGCCTTTTAAGTAAGAAATTCGAGTTCATTTTTGGAAGAGCCAAATTATTGCTAAGATACACAGTTAAGAAGTGCCAAAGGCAGAAAGGATAGCTGACTCAGCCTGGATCTCCTTGGGCGTGATGGACCTTGGTAGGGTCACTCCAGACTAAGGCTCAGCTTAGCTCTTGAGACTTGGAAACTCAATTCTGCCAATTCTTTCAGGAATAATCAGGATCTACTCACCAGAGAGTTCTACATCTTACAACTATTTCTCAGTGTGCCAATTTCTGTTATTCTTAAGAAAAGGAGGCTATGTGGCAGGACCATGGGTTTAGATTCAATCATTCCAGATTTCAAATTCATTTCATTATTTTTTGGCTATTATGACTCCTGAGAACACTGGCTTCCTTGTCCTGAAAACAAGGAGGGCTACCTTGCAGGGATGTTATAGAGATTAAAAGTGATAACATATATAAAGCATCTCACATGGTGCCCTGACCACAAATCAGTAACTGAGTTCCCTTTTCCTTTATCCACTCTTTAGTGCTGTTCTGTCACTACAGGTACAGAAGGAGCTTGTGGGGAGGCCCACAAGATGAAAGCTAAAAGCTCAGCAGCCAGGAGACAAATGCTGATTTCCCAACCCAGAAAGAATGACTGGTCATCCTCTAAAGTCCAAAAGCTGCTTAACTTGTGATCTACCAAGGATTCAAAAATCTTGCACATTGTCTTTCAGGAGAGAATCCTTAGAGTTTTCCAATTCTAGTTCCAGGGAACCAACTGGATAAGCATTCACCCACTCTCACAATGATAGACTCCCAAGAACCTGAGTTATATATTATGAAGCTAGTGTTCTAAACATCTCTAACATTCCTGGAGTAGAGGGAAAAAATAAATCAAGGGAGAGGTTAGTTTTTAAATTATAAGTTTTTGTTTCAAAAGATACATGATAGAACATTTTATTAATAAAACCTCTTGCATTCTAGAAGGAAAGGAAATAATTTCATTGTAAATATTATCTGGGTTAGATATTTTTGAGACAAGGTCTTGCTCTGTCACCTAGGCCAGAATGCCTTAGCCTGGGTCACTGCAGCCTCAACTTCCCAGGATCAAGCGATCCTCCTGCCTTAGCCTCCCGAGTATCTGGGACTACAGTAGGCACATGCCACCATGTCTGACTACTTTGGGTTGGATACTTTCACCATGTCTGACTACTTTGGGTTGGATACTTTTAAGGGTCTATCTCAAATTCTGCTGATACAGAGAACACCCATTGTAAACCCACTTTTGCTGACCACACCTTAGTATAATGCCGTTAGTTCATATAGAGGCAAGCAGCAAGAAAAAAGGCTTTCAAACTCATCAGTGTGACAACTCTAAGGATGTGGCTAAGCACCATGTTCACTGCAGTATACTTAGGAGGTCAAGCGGTGTCCTCTTTATCGAACCTCTCAAAAGCAATCTGTATTGCTGATCTAAGAACCAAAAAAAAGCTGGGCACCGTGCCACATGCCTGTAGTCCCAGGTACTTGGGAGTCTGAAGTGGAAGGATGGCTTGAGCCTAGGAGTTCAAGACCAGTTTTGGGCAACAAAGTGAGGCTCCATTCTCAAAGAACAGAAAAAAAAAAAAAAAAAAAAAGAAAGAAAAAAAGAACCAAAAAGAGCTGTATTTTCCCTGAGACCATTCATTCATTTAACTAATAGTTGCTGAGCCCCTTCAGTTGCCTGAGCCAGGCAGGGTGCTAGGGCCAAGCCTGGCACAAGGACAGAGTCTGCCCTCTAGGCTATAGGCACTGAACTGTGTAGCTGATCAGATTTCCCATTTATGAGGCTAGAAACCTTAGCGGTAAATCTTTGGCCCAGTCAGTAGTAACTTTACAGGACTTTGAGGTATGTATACTGAAGCCCCACTCCTGGCTCCACTTTCTGTCTTTGGTTCCACTTCTTAATTTGTGCTGTTTTGCTTTTATATCTTAAGCTGTCTTAAATTTTTTCTGCAAGAAGTAAACAAGCAAATTTATAAAGGCAATATATATATTTTAGTTTATTTTTGCTCTGGTTATTATGAGCACATTTTGTTCTTTAAAAAGAACTTAAGAATTATAATCTTTACCACTTATAGTATATCTTAATATTATATAGGAAATATAAGTGTTATGCAAAGTAGTTTGTTTCACTGATTTTTCTCCTTTAAAGTACTTTTTTTTTTTTCAGTTCATCTGCACCTAGAGCTTTCCAAGAAACCTTAGGGAGGTGGTAAGGAGCATTATAGCAGTACTTAGGCCTGGTTTCAAGGGCAATAGCTAGAAGTCTTAGTAGGACCTAAAACTTTGTGTTCAATTGACAGTTTAAAAAATTTTTGATATTAGAGAAGTGGGAAGACAAAATTATAGAGCTGTAAGTATAATATCTAAAAATATGTGAATAAATGCTAAAAAAAAAAAAAAGTAAGCTCTTAGCTCATAGCATTCCATGTTCTTAAAAACATGGCACCAGTCCTTGAGAGAATCTCACTCAGTCTATGTGTCAAGCACTGAGTAGATGCTCAATAAACAGCTACTAAATAAAAGAATAAATATCTTCTAGTGTTCTGTTACTGAACCACAGATATATCTATATTACATATAATACTGTATTCACATATACAATGTATTAGGAAGAGCAGTCTTTTTGGGGAAGTCATAAAATGATAAATGATCAACAGATATAGTTTATTTATCACAACAGTGATTGTATTTTACATAAAAAATGACAAATTAAAAATGAAATATATCACTATCTATATAAGTATAACCTACTGAGATCCCATATTTTAATCCATTTTATGACCCAGAGACTACATTTTAATAGATATTATAAGATATACCATAACATTAATTATTTCTTAGAATTTTAAGAAATATGGCTTATGTATCAGGCTTAATGAGTGAGCCAAAGCCTTTATCAGCTCCCTCAAAACTGGTAAACTGGAAAGATTTGAAATCTGAATAGCATATAAAAGCATAATGTCTATGTTTTCCATAGTTAATTTATTTGCTGTTAGGCAGTTCTTCAGCCAACATCCTCTGTTTCTGACCACAGTAGTGTATCTCAAGCAGGAATAGTAAGACAAGCAGGGTCATAGATCTTTATTGTTTCATCCCAAGAACAGTCAGCCACCTAGAAAACAAAAATGAAGTAAGAAGAAATGTATTTAGATGTACGAAAATTCAAAATTGGCAGCAAAAACCCAAGTCATTTAGAGTGTCGTAAATCATCCACTAGTAAACATATTTTTGAACAGGAAAAACATAGGGCTAAGTTTTTGATAAGAAGTCTATATTCCCTTTTTAGGATATACGTCAGGGTATTCCAATTGATTCCAATTAATTGAGTATATTCCAACTGGTATATTCCATTTGATTGAGGTTTCCTATAAGAATGTCCCCCACCTTCACTCCACCCAACAACTACAGAATTCCCTACCATCTGAGAGAAATGTTGAAAAGATGCGTTCCAGACTGTGAACAAGATGCTGTGCTCAATATTGGGGGGATGGAGAGGAAGATAAAGTAAAGCTCTTGCCTCTTAGGGGGACTATATGATTCCAGCTGGGACAGTGTAAGACAACTTCACAATGCCATGGCATTCCCACTGGACCTCTGTAGGAGGCAGACACAAAAGACAAGGACATTCACATCTACAAAGCCATAGGAAAACATGAAGGGAAGAAAGTCCAGGGTGTTCAGGAACTATGCATTAAAAACTTAGTGTAGCAATGTCTCCAGGTATAAAATTAATACATGAAAATGAACTGTATTTCTATATACTCATTTTTTAATAGAAATGGATGAGGCAATTTTTAAAATTTATGTGGAAATGCCAGGACTTAGCCAAAAGAATCTTGAAACGAAACAACAAAGCTGCACTACTTACTCTAGCTGACTTACAGACTCAGCATGAAACTACTGTAATCAAGACTGTGTAGGATTAGGATAAAGACAAGTAGACCAATGGAAGAGAACAGAGTTCAGGAATAGGCCCCACACTAGGACAAATGGCTTTCAACAAAGGTACCAAAACAATTAAAGGCAAAAGGAAAAGTCTTTTCAATAAATGGTGGTAGAACAACTGAATATCCATAGGGAAAAAAGTGAATCCTGACCCCAACTTTGCACATAAAAATGAATTTGAGATGGACCACAGACCTAAATATAAAAGCAAACAGTATAACACTTTTAGGAAAAAAAATAGGAAAATATATTCTCAATACAGAGGTAAGTAAAGATTTCTTAGGGATACAAAAAGTAATAATCACAAAAATTTGGTAAGTTACTCTCAATCAAAAATAAAACTTTTGCTCATCAAAAGACACTGTTAAGAAAATGAACAGGCAAGACACAGTTAAATAAAAGATTAATAAAATATACACCTGACAAATAACTTGTATCCAGAATATATAAAGAACAAATACAACTCAATAATAAAAGACAATCTAATTAAAAATGATGGGCAAAAGTACACACATAAAAAAGTGCTCAACATCATTAGGGATTAGGGAAATGCAAATAAAAGTAACAATGAGATACCACCATATACTCACATTATGGCTAAAATTAAAGATTGACAACACCAAATGTCAGCAGAGATATGGAACAGCTATGATTGCATAGATTGCTGGTAGGGATGTACACGGTACCACCATTTTGGAAAACAATTTGGCCATTTCTTACCAAGTTAAACACATACCTATCTTTTGACCCAGTAATTCCACTCCCAGATATTTGTCCAAGAAAAATGAAAACATATATTTGCAAAACAGTGTATACAGGAATGTTCACAGCAACTTCATTCACAATAGCAAAAAATCGAAAACAAGGCTGGGTGCAGTGGTTAATACCTGTAATCTCAGCATTTTGGGAGGCTGAGGCAGGTGGATCACCTGAGGTCAGGAGTTCGAGACCAGCCTGGGCAGCATGGTGAAACCCCGCCTCTACTAAAAATACATAAAATGAGCTGGGCATGGTGGTGCATGCCTGTAATCCCAGCTACTAGGGATGCTAAGATGGGAGAATTGCTTGAAACTGGCAGAGGCTGCAGTGAGCTGAGATTGTGCCACTGCACTCCAGCCTGGGCGACAGAGTGAGACTCTGTCTTTGAGGAAAAAAAAAAAAAAAAGGAAAACAATCAAAATACTCACTAACAAAAGAATCGATAACAAATTGTAGTAAATTCATACAACAGAATGTGCTCAGCAAAACAAAGGGAGGAACTGCTAACAGGCTCAGTACCATGGATGAAGCTCACAGGTAAGAGGCCAGAAACAAGTGAGGACATACAGAAGAGTTCCTTGTAGAATTCTAAGACAGGCAAAACTCATCTAAGGTAAATAAACAAACAAACAAAAAATCAGAACAATGTTACTCTTCTCACCTGGAGGGAAGGGTGGGGATAGGGGAGATTGGAAAGGGGTAAAAAGGAAACTGGGGGAAAGATCAAATAACTGGGATGATGTGAATTTCACAGGCACATCTATTTGTCAAAAATGTGTATCTAAGATTTGTAAATTTCAATATATGTTAATTATACCTAAAAATAGTAAAAATAATGTTAGCGATGATAACTAAACGATGGGTGAGAGTACAGGAATAAATAAGAATGTTGATAGTTGCTCAAGCTAAGTAATGAAGTTCATTATCCGATTCTGTTACTTTGTATGTTTTCAAAAATTTCCACAATAAAAAAAAAAGAAGAAAAGAAACAAGGTAGGCAGTAAAATGAAAGATGAAGTAGGAAGAGAGTACTTTTGACCAAGTATTTGCACTCCATTTCCCAGCCTTTCATGGTTATTACAAAGGTTGAAAATTACACAAGAGAACCCTCATTTTGACTAATGTAATTTCTTGGCTATCACTAACTTTGAATACAAGAACCTTTCAAATTAATCAGAGTAATATTAGCTCCTTATCATTCACTAGCAATATTCTGAGATCACAATCCAAGTTATAGAGAGCGTTATAGACTTTTTAGTCAAATGTTTACATTTTAAAACCACACTCTTCAAAATCTGGTTGTTCCCACTTCATTTCTCATTGCACCAGGATCACACCTCAAATCCAAGCATGCTGCTTATGCCTCTTGATGCTCTTGTTCCTTTACTGATCCCTTCCCTTTAATAACTCCTCTTCTCCCTCCCTTTCTGTCTGCTCCTCTGTCCCCTTTGCCTTGCTCTGCCAGAGATGTCTCTTCTTTAAAAAAATCAGTTTAGGCATCACCTCCTCTATGAGGCGTACTCATAATACTTCATTGTACCCATAATACTTGATTGTATTTATTTTACTGACTGAAGACAAAGAGTTGTCTTCAGCTCTTTCAGGGCATGGACCATGTCTTCTTAGAACATAACTCAATGAATATTAGCTCAACAAATTAATCTTATCGATTAAAATTTCAGAGATTAACTCTGTCCTCATGTTCACACTAGAGTAGCAGAGCTACAACCAGAACCTAAACTTGTTGAATGTATCCACTAAAAACAGTGCCTCATAGAAAAGGCACACTGAAAACCATTATTTGCCTAATCTTGCAGTTTTCAGTTTTTATACCAGAGGACACAAAGATCATTATGTTAAATTAACCATCTCATCTATGCTTATTTTTTTTCACGTGCTGGACCTTTCCACAAGTTAAACATCCACTACTGGAGAGAAGAGAATCAGATAAATAAGACTTAGGTTTCTAGTGCAAGGTATCTATAAATTATGTTTCTGAAACCTTATTCAGCACTCTTCAATCCAGCTTCTTATTTACTCAGGACTTATAATAACTACCAAATATTAAGGCCACTGATTCAGCAAATGTTCATAAATCTATACTTAATTGGATTAAGATAGATGTAAAACTGCAATGATATAGAATTAGGAATAGATTAATTCAAATTGATGAAAATAGTATTTCTCTATTTGTTAATTAAACCCTATCTGGTTCTACAAATTTAAGCAAGCTAACAATAAAGAAAATAATAATAAGGTAAGAAAAAAGCACTTTACTAACAAAGAGGCTCCAGATTCTCCAAGGTTGCCATGTAGGAGCTTCCTGGTAAGAAAAAACTACTGTGCCATGTGGTCCCCAGGGGACCTCTTATTAATTATCACCACCACTGCAATGGCTTCTGGTAGCACTACTTCCCCTCTAATTCTAGAACTGAAAGTAAACACAGGGTTCTTTCTTAATGTCCCATGGTACCTATCTGTGGTCAGCCTAAGAGACATTTTAAAAAGACTGTACTAAAAACAAGGGCTAACAAAAAGACACATATTTAAAAAAGACTTTGCTTAAAAAAAAAAAGTGTTAACAAACAGAAAAAACAAGTAAAGAAAATGGCATGAAAATAAATAATCTGCTTTACAGAATGAGATACACTCGTTCTTTAGCTTGTCAAACAAAGAGGCATCTTTCCTGGCTCCCAACCTGCTTCCTCATAACAAAAGCTTCCCCTTCCATCCCCAGAAATGCATGCCTGGCCATGAAGACTCTTTCAAGGCCAGACTCAGGATACAGAATGAGAAAGATGCTGATAGGAATCTCCTTTTCTACTTACCCAAGATTATCTTTCTCAGTTTCAGTCCCATATATGAGAACCCCACTTATTTGCCCATTATCTTGCTATAAGAAAAATTGTGAATGATTGAAATCAGAAAAAAAGATGACTAAGTATCCTTTCAGTGGGAGGCTGGCATTGTCTTAGGGACCATATGGGTTACCCGTTTCTCCAGAGCTCTGTGCATTTCACTTTCTGACTACTTTAGAACTCTGTAAATTATAGAAAACAGATAGCAATGCAAACGATTCCCATTCATAAAAGTTGCAAGGGAATCCTGTCCTGCAGAGATGCAACTGATGCCCCCGCTTACCCCCTGCAAGAGATGACTCCAAACCTTAAGTCTTATTGCCCTGTGGATACTGTCCAGTTCTGCACCTATTAGTAAATTCATTTCAGCACTCAATGATTCCTTCAAGTTAGCTGTCAAATCTTACATGAGTTACATAAATGAGTTAAACAAAATCTTTGACACATGTTCATACTATGAGAGTCATGTCACCATTTTGAAAATTATCCTTTAACATGGCCACACACAGGGATTCAGTTTACTGTGTCAAGGGGGTAACCATTATTTCAA